TTACTTCACTTAATATAATTTTTTCCAAGTTTTTCCATTTCCTAACAAATGTGGCAATGTCATTCTTTCTGATGGAGGCATAGAATTCCATTGTTCTGGGGAGAATTCTTGAATGCTATCAAACCTGTAGTTTGTAGAACTCATGATGAGGATAGATAGATGATTTTAACTATGTGCTATCAGGTCTGAGATGTAGTTTTCCCCTACTTTCAAGGTAGTAAGTCATTCTATTGTTGTCTCTTGGATCCTGGCAGTAGATGTAAAACTCCCAGGATAGAAAGGCAGGGCTTTTAATCACTACACCACATTATTTTTGAGCATCAGCCTATGCTCATTAGTTCCTTTTTCCCAGATTTCAGGGTAACACAACATGGATGTACACATGTAGTAGCTACTAAGCCACTGGGAACTACCAAGCTTAGAAAAATTCTGTTTTTCTCAAAAACAGAAGCAGATACGGACATTGTTTTATCCCACAAAGATAGAAGAACTAATAGGGACCAGACTCTCTTCTGTAGTACTCTTAGGTTAGCAATACAAGTACAATGTGAGCCATATATGTAAGTAAAAGTTCCTTGCCTCATATAAAAGGATTAAAAAAGTTGAAATTATTTCATAACATTTTATGCAGCCTAGTATCTCCAACAGACTGCTATTTCAGCAAATGATAGTTTTAAATCATTAATAAAATATTTCATATTCTATTTTGTACAGTCTTGTAAAATCCAGTATATATTTTGTAGTACAGTAAGTATGAATCCAGATACTAAATTTTCATCAGAAACACAATCTGTATTTAAGTTAAGAAATAGGCCATTGATTGAGATGTACAAGTCGTTATGTCAAAAACGAACTTCACAACTTTGGTTGGGGGGGGCGCGTGGGGAGGGGGGGCAGGGAGGATTGGGGGGGCAGGGGAGGATGGGAAGGGATGGGAAGGGGAAACAAAGGAGGAGGCTACAATGCTTGATAAGAAGTGTACTCATTATCTTGCCCATGTAATTGTAACCCCTCTGTACAGTATTTTCACAATAAAAAAATAGGCCGTTGAAAAAAATACATTCACACAGCCAAGTTGCTTTACATATGCTTAAAAGAACCAGCAACTGGACCAAGTGTGCAGATTCTCAATTGATTAAAATTCAGTTTCTTAGCTACACTGCCATACTTGAAGCACTCAGGAAACACGTGGCTCGTGTAGGTCCTCCCTGTGGGTGCTGTTGTCCCTAAGGCTACTTAGCACTTGCCTGCCCTGCACCTGTCTCCTCAGCCCCAGCATAGTTTCAGGGCTGCCGCATATGACACACTTAGCTGTTTGCCAAACACATTTATCATTGGGTAAAATTGGCAAGGCACTTTCATCTCTTTAATTTTCCTTTTCCTTCCAATGAAGTGAGGATTAAGATGGCTTGGCTGGCAGTGTTAGTTAGCATGAATTCCAATAATTAACTTCAAGCCAGCAGCGTTAGCATGGATTCCAATAATTAACTTCAGGCCAGGAGAGCACACGCCTGCCAGTCATTATGCAAACTGCATTGTTTCAGCCCAACTAGAGACTGATTTCCTCTATGAAGGTGAATTTTAAAATAGTCATGTTAAAAATAAAGGCCAACAAAATAAAGATACGTTGAACTTTTATTTCCAGAGAAAGATTAATTTAGCTTTTCCAGTTATGCAAAAATATAGTATTAGAACTGTGCACACATACACACAAAAAAACCTATCCTCCACGAAAATTTAATCATATGCATAAGCTTTTCTTAGCCAGAGCTTTGTAATATACTTGGGTCCATCATATTTGATAAAGAAGGCTTTCAACTTAGTATGAAATACCTAAAGACAATTCATTAAGTTAGCCAACACTTAAAAAGTGCTGGGCGCCAGTGACACATACCTGTCATCCGAACTGTACAGAATGCTGAGATCTGAGGATCATGGTTCGAAACCTGCCTGGGCAAGCAAATCCCGAGACTCTTACCTCCAGTTAACCACCAAGTAGCTGGAAGTGGAGCTGTGGCTCAAGTGGTAGAGCCACTTGATCACTGGTACGACTTCACTAAAGAACAATACTCTTTTACAAATCTGTGACTCAGCCACTCTTCTGGAGCTCAAGCTTCAACCTCCCAAGTGCCGTGGCACTTGTGGCCGGCCACTAGTTTCACATGGAAATGAACAACAGAGAGAGAATGGAATATACAAGACCACATATTATTGGCTATGTAGTGTTTAAGATTTACTGGGGTTTCATAGGCTCAGTATACATGATGGAAAGCAGGATTCGAAGGCCAAAACCAAAAGTTTACACATTAAGAGATGACAAATCCAGTGGTAAGAAAGAGTACCAGTCCAGAATGCCCACGAAATATGGTAATGATTTGTGATTTAAAGGACTCTTCTGATTGGTTACCATGAGTGTGGGGTACATGAGCACTGGGTATCTCTTGTCTTTCAAACTAGAAATATCTCATATCCCTCCATAAGTCTGGACAGTCAGAAATGGGCAAATAGTCCAATGTGTCATCTACACATCAGTTTCCTACTGGTTTCTTAATTAGTTATCTAATTACCTGCCCTTGTATCATAAGGTGGGGGAACTGAACTCAATCTCATTTAGTTTTCTTCATTCAAGTCTGGTGTCCTGTCACTTGAGCCACACCTCCACTCCCAGCTGTTTTTTGGGTAACTGGAGATAAGTCTCAGAAATTTTTCTGATGGGGCTGACTTGGAACTACAATAGTGAGATCTCAGCTTCCTTAGAAGCTAGGATTTCAGGTGTGAG